GAGGCGGAGGGGGCGGCGCCGCCGCCGCCGCCGCCGCTGCTGCTGCCCGGTTCGGAGGTGCGGGTCACCCTGGATCACATCATCGAGGACGCGCTCGTGGTCTCGTTCCGCCTGGGAGAGAAGCTCTTCTCGGGGGTCCTCATGGACCTCTCCAAAAGGTGAGAGGGAGGGAGGTCGCGGACCCCCCGCCCCGTGCTAACCGCCGGCCACTTTCCTTCCCGCGGGGAGCCCAAGGCTGGGGTCCGGCCCGGGGCACGCCCAGCCCCGCGGGAATGGGGGGCAGGCGGCTGACATCCCTGGGCTTCCTCCTCGCTGTGGCCGGGAGGGAAGAATCGCTCCCTCTTCCCTGCTCCTTATCCCCTGCCCGTGTCGGGGGCCGGTCCGTGTCTCGCCCCCGGGCCGAGGGGGGCCCTGCGGGTCGTTTCCCTTGGACACAATGCCCTGATGCCAAGTGGCCGCTACTGCCTTATGCTGTGGCCTTGGGCTGGGTGGTCCTCCTCCTTCTAGCAGAATCGAAACTGATCCAGGCTTGCCCCCTCCCTTCCCCCCAGTTCTGTGCTGGCAAAACGAGTAGCCTGGTGGGAATGGGAGAAGAGGAGACAGGAAGAAGGAAGAGCACATGGGCGCTCCCTCCAACTCATTTGGGATTCATCTTGGGCCTTGGCTGTCCCTCCCTGCTGGCAGGAGGGACCTGGAGCTGCAGAGCTCCATCTGAGCCTGCCCAGATCTGGGATGTTCAGACCCGGAGTTGGCTGGCGTCTAAATAGCAGCTTGTGTTGCCCGGGCTATTTCATAGTCCGTGCTGAAAGCACATTCTCTTTCGGAGTGGAGGCTATTGCAGCCCTAAAGTGTGATTACTAGTACTAATTGCTCCTTGTGTTTCGTTTATGGGGAGTGGCTCTTAATTACACTTAGGAAACAGTCTTTTTCTTTCAAGAGACTGTCATCTGCCATAAAGTAAATGTGGGCCTGAGGAGGAAAAATTGTGCGTGTATTTTTTTGATAGCTTAGTTTCCAAAAGCTTTTGCCTGTAGGAGACTTGCACATCCTTCTAGGAGCAATAGCGGGGAAAATTTGGAAAATACTTAGGGATATACTCCATCCTCTTAACATGGATAACATCCATGTTATCCTCTTCAGTGGTTGCATTTTAAAGATTTCAGCATCCTGGAAGTGTATGAAACTGATGAGACTTTCTTATTGTCTTAAACTGAGTGACATGCAGAAAGTATACAGCATAAACCTTGAATGACAAAACTAAAAATGTTCTTAAGCTTTAATCCTCAAAGTGGTAGTGATGTAAGTAAATAACTTTTTAAAATTGTCTTTTAAGTTAGAAGGTGTAAATTGACACCTGTTCTGTAATTTTGTAATCTGAGGATTTTTAGTGCTCCTTAAAGTCACGCTACCTCCCTTTCTTTAGTCTTGCCCTGAGCCTGGCTTTCTTCCTTCTCTTTTGGAACAAGGTATTTAAAGACCCTAAATATAAATTCCATGAACAAGCTAGCAACATTTGGGGGGGGGAGAGGGGAAGTCACAGGAGTGAGTTCTGCAGTTCTCATCTTAAGTGTATAGCAGTTGAAAGGGATGTACCTACATTTTCATTTTCATTTGTTTTGAAGGTGATCTGCAAAGATGCACATTTGGTATAAAGTAATTAAAAAAAAAAAAAACAAACAAAAAAACAAAAAAAACAAACCTCCTCAAGCAGGTGAAGGGGATGTTCAATCATGTCTTTTTCTTTTGTAGGTCTGAAGTCCAGACCCTCAGAATCTCTCTTTCTCACTCAGTTCAGTCCCTTGTGCTATGTGGGTGACAGCACTTGCCTTTAAATGACTCTGGATTCTGTATGTATGAGTAAGGAAAATCCTGACTCTTTCTCCTCCTACAAAATTATGTCTTATTTGTCCCCTCACAGCAGTGTGACTGGGGATTCCCTGTGCATCACTGAGGATTCTCCAGTTGAATATCCCTGTGAAGCACATGGCCCTGCATGTGGAAGTGGCTCTGCAAACTAGGAGGGGCCCCTCCTTTGTTCCCTTGCATTGTGCTCTCAGATGAGGCATGCTTCCTAGATTGCCCTGTGAACTTTATTTGAAAGTAGAGGGGGATTCTCATTGCAGAGAAACTGGAACAGGTAGTACAACCAAGCATTGCATTAAGTACAACCAAGCATTGCATTATTTGCATGTAAGCTTTTGAGGAGATGATGCTGCCTTTTTGTCTTGCTTCTCTTGATACAAATTCCAAACTATGGAGGGCTCCCCCTTGCCTTGGGAGTCATTGCTTGGACTCCTGTAAAATCAGCTAGTTTTGGAGGCATTAGGGAGTAAGAATTTGGCTTACTAATGTACCAGCTCTGCAGTGTCTGGGTAGTGACACTTGAATGTGAGAGAGTGAGTGAAGGCCTGGGCTCATACCCAGAGGAAAGGAATGGTAAGTAAACTCTAGAAAGGCACCAAGAGCTTGTTTTAAATGTTAGAAAATGCCTACATTACATATAAAAGCTAATATTGTTGTATTGACTTGTGTAGATCTTAAGGTGTGGAGATGGCCTGTTCCTGCATTTAGGCAGTTTTTGTCTTTTCAGAGGACTGTCGTAATTGAACAGTGTATGTATTTATGTATGCCTATATTTTCCCCATTGCTCTTATTCATAAAAGATAGATAGCATGATTTAGTCAGAAGTTGTATACATTTTAATAAACGTTCCTCTCTTCTGTGGAACTCTTGTTTACTGAGAGTTGCCTTCCATGCCAGCACTCCTAATAATTATCCCAGAGGGGAAAAGGGAGAACCAACCAAAACCCTAACAAGCATGGATTATCTTGAAACTGTGGGAATTCCCTTGAGAGAGGCTCCCAAAGCTAAATCTGCCTCTAACCTGTTCATCCAGATATGTGGGAAAGTTAATATAAACATTCTCAATGCAAATGTGGCCGCTTCCTGCAGCTTGTCACTTTTTTAGATTCTTAAACTTAGCTATGACATCTGGATGAGTTTTAGAGCAGGATAGATTGGTCTAGCATTTTAAAAGACTATCAGCAGCATTGGTTACAGGTGCTAATACCTTGCATAGACTACACTGGAGGAAAACTTTCTGCCCTGCATTGTGAACATTGATAGACTTCAGTTTTTGGCAAAAGGCAATGAGGGTGCTATTTGCCTTATTAATGTATTGCAGAGAGTTTGAAGGATTAATGTGTGCTTTTAAAAAAATACTGCAGCCAGGCTTATTGCCCTTAGGTTGAGTGCTTTGCCACTCCTGTAATATGGGATGAAAGAACAACCAACATGCCTTTAAGTGTTTCTTTGAAAGCTGCTTCTACTTCTCTTTCCGCTGTGCTAGCTTTTGTATTTGTTTCAGCAGATCCACGTGATGTCCATACTGGAACTTGAAGGAACTTAGTTAAGACTGACAACCTTAAAAAAACAAAATCTGATTCTGTATTCTACTCTAAATAGTGTGTGTACCTAGTGTTTATGCTCCTCGTCACCAGGGATCCTGCTTTTTGCTGATTTTAAGAAAAAAAACAAAAAACAAACCCCAATTTTTGGGCTAAAGTAACCCAAAATCCACATTTTTCCATTATTAAAATGAACACGAGAGAAAAGTGGTGTTTCACTTTGATCATGGAAAAATGTGGATTTTGAGTTACTTTTTTAAACCCAAAAACTGGATTTTATTTTTTAATCTGAGAGAACCAGGATCCCTGCTCATCAATATAATACAAGTGTCTTGTTTATTACTGGATTTTTATCTACACAACATCCTTGGGAGGTAAAGTAGTACTGTGTATGCCGTTATAACTGGTGATATGATATACAAAACAGCCCAGTAAGAAGTCTGATGCTGGGCTGGGAGAGAGAGCCCTGATCTTTGAAATTCCAGGCCAGTGGCCTAACTAGTAGAAACTTTATATCCACAGCCTGGCTTAAAAATTTAAGAAAAAATATTTTTGAATCTCTGCTAATGTTCAAGTGGGCCAATTCAAGAACATCACACTAGGCCTCACTTTCCTTTTGCTTGTTTTTTTTGTTAAAATGCTTGTCTGCTCTTCATCTTTAACATCATTATTTTCTTGTCCTCGAGGAAGGTCAGGCATGAGAGCTTTTCAGTGCAATGCAAAAGTGGTGAAGTTTCGCTAGTGCATAAGATGGGAAGTATAGTCAGCATCAGAACAAGGAAACTAACTGCCCAAAGTAAATGGACTTAGTGAAATGTGTAAAACTTCAGTTATAGTAATGCATGCCACTTGTAAAATGGCAGGTAAATTATCAACTGGATGTGCCTAAGTTAATGCTAAGATGCCATGCTTAGGAAGTAGAGGTGCATTAATATATTGGTGCCATATTAGCTTGGCACCAATAAAAGGAAGGTTAACATGATCAGTTATTGTCTTTTTTTGGCCAGTGTAGCCAATAGTGTCACCGATAAATATATATGCCTTCTAGCTGGGGGGCCCCCAGATGCTGCGTGCATATGCACAGGTGTATCAATGCATGTGGCCAGGAATGCAGCCAGGCAGCATGGAGAGCTGCATCCTGCAGGTAAGTCTGTGGAGGGGAAAGCATGTGAGGGAGGGGGAGGTAGATTGAGGCCCCCATGGTGAGGGAGGGCATGAGGCAGGGGTTGAGGCTGGGGGTGCTGCTCAGCCAGGGCAGAGAATGGGACCTTGGGCAGGGAGTAGGACAGAGCTGTGGGGGGTTTGTTCAGGGGGCACGGGTGGGTGGGGAATTGGAAGGGGAGGCACCTCCCTGCTGCCGCCCTGGGGGAGGCATGGGGGAGGGGCATGTGCCTCCCAGATTTGTGCATGGGGTAGATGCGGGCTGCCCGCTGTGGGCTTGGGGCTCTTCGCTCCTAGCGACCTTTTGTCCTGGGGCCTCTGTGTTAGCCATGTATCCCCTGCCTGCCCAGCAGTGGTGGTGGCATCTAGTTGTGCCTCCCACTGCCAGATGAGCAGGGGGCCAGTGGCGGATGCAGAGCACCTGGGGTGAGGTTCAGGAGAGGAGCTTTGCCAGGAGCAACCCAGTGAGGGCTGGGAGCAGAAGGCTCAGTGGTCCCATGCTGCCCACACTGCTGGCTGGGGTACATTTGGTTACAGTTCTGTATTTACCATGTCCTCCAAAAATCATTGAATTCACTTGCAAGTCAACA